AAAAACCGGCAGCTAGCTAAGGCTATGTTTGATAATCAAATAAGCTAGCTTATAAACTATTTGGTTAGCTTATATAAGCTTCTTTTATTCAAATAAACTTCGTTTGGAAAGACGAGTTTTTTTAAAAAGCTCGAGTTTATCTCTTTGAGTAGCTTTTCGAATAAACTCGTTGAATTTTTTTTATTTCAGCTAGCTTCAGTCAATTTTACCAAACACTTCTAGTTTTTCAGATACAAGTCATAAGCTCGAAAATCACTTATAAATGAAAAAGAACCAACCTGGACCGAGAGTGTACAAATGATACGACACAACGTCGACAACGTGTAGGCCCGAAACCTGAAGGAAATCACCATACCACTTCTTATCGAAAAATCCAGATGGCGTGATTAAACAAGGCACTTGTTTCCGTGAGAAATCCGCATACAACTTGTTAAGCATATCATTTAGTTGAACGGCATCTTTGCCATATTGTTCGGCTCCCACACTAGCTCCAATCCCACTGCCACTTAACTCGTTACCTAACTCACAAAGATAAGGAGATAACTGATCTGAAACTCATCGATGACAGACTGAAAAACCCAAAAAACAAGAATTTAAAATTCTTAATACCAAATTCCCAATAGTCAATGCTATATCCCTTTGAAAGAGTGTAAATAATGAAATCACGAGCATTTCTTGAATACCAACTTCCTCCCCAAGCATTTCCCCGAATACGGTGCCTCCCGTATAGAGCATTAAGCCCGAATGTTACAATAACTCTGCAAATGCTAAATTTCTTCAGATTGTAACATACTAATCTTTCTCTTGTGCAATTTTTTTCTTTTTACATTTCATTGTGTGTATAAGGATATGAACATTCATATACATAATGACATAAAAATCGGAGCTTTACCCAGTCCTTTTGAAAAATTTATTCAGTTCGTCCCATCTATTCATGAGCAAGCACCCATTTGAAAAACCAAACAAACCACCCTTCTGCTGCTTAAATGGATGGCAAGGAGCGGTTAATTTCCCCACATTATAAACCACTTGATCTTGCAAAGAACCACCGACTCTAAGTCTCAAGTTCTTGAAAGCTGTCAGTGAAACTAAACGGAGTAAGACATCACATCACATCACATATGAGGTACGATTTAAAAAAAAAAACAGGAAAAACAAACCTCTAATAGCATTATTAAGGAAAGGGTGAGACAAGTTCTGCCAAAAGAAAACAAATTCAAGATAACAATTAACAAACCACACATATATGACCACCGTTAAGGAAAAATAAATCATATAGCCCGTTAGCAAGATTTTCTTACGAGATTTATGGCTGATGATGAACCCCAAGGACATTTGTTGTAATTACACTTCTCTTGCGGCCACCAATCGATAGTGGCACAAATATAATGATCATCTGTTTCAGCAATTTTGGCGCTTGTGTCGATGATAATTTTCCCGTCTTCGAATATTTGTGCGAAAATTGCAGGGAATATCGCGAAACAGAACAAAAGTAAAATCCGGAATGCCATGGCTGATCGATTAAGCAGGAGACGAAAAAAATGCAACTCGACCAACTCAAATCAACTAATACAGCAAAAAGAAACATATATGAGAGACTTATCACTGGACTAATCATCATTCCTAATTGTTATTAATGCCCCCAAAAGAAAAACTTTTATTTTATTTTCTCTTAGATTGAATGTCAATATGGTTTAACAGAACCACAAGTCAAACAGGATAAATTGTCATAACATCTTATTAGCAGAAATGGTTACACATCACCTGGGGCCTAACTGTATTTAGAATAATATACATAAATTTTACTACATCTTTACCTTCTTTTTTTTNACGGCAAGACATCAGTAGTGAAAGCAAAGCTAATCACGATGTTTTATACAAAACAAACAATGATAACAATCTAACTAAACCCACCAACCAGCTTAGAAAAACCTCCAAAGAGTAACACCAGAAAGAAACATTAAAAAATAAGACACAAAAGAGAAAAAGATCTGAGCTTTTTCACTCGGTCATGAAATTACTGAACGAGGGACTGAGTAAAGCTCACATAATCAGAACAACATTACAAAGAAAACGGATCTAAGTAGATCACTAACCTCAAAAGTTACAAATTTTCATTACAGGGTGAGGCCCAATTTCAGTGCAGCATCTTAACCAACCAATGTACAGTCTTTTCTTGAAAAAACAAAATACATTTCTTGGTTGAAAGACACTAAGAAGAGAGCAGCTCAAGAAGAGTGGAATAATGGATTTAATGGGCCTTTTTTGTTTGTGAAACTTCTTTTCTGGGTTAAGCATACAAGTTACAACTCGAGAATGGAAAGGGTGATGATTATATAGGGTCAGTCTCAGATTTCTTGAACCTTAATGTGAAGAGAATGCGAGGTGCACATCAGTGAATAGAAGGTATAAAGCTTTTTTTATAGCGGAAAAAAGGGTATATGATAATAAAGACACGGTTTGATTTGTTAGAGCATGATTGGATATAAATCCAACCCAAAAAATCCAATCATTTTTAACTCAACCATTTTTTTTTAACTCAATTTTAACCCAACCCCACTATCATCAATATTATCAATATAATTAAATAATATCAATCAATCATTCTTACACACAACATCAACCTTAATTAACTATTTCTCAACTCATATAATTTAAACTAACCATCACATCACATATTCTCTCTCCTACTTTTACATCAATTTAATTTTAATCATTTTATTTTAAATATTATTTTAATATACCCACTAACAACTAACCATACCAACTTTTTCAAATTTAACCAACCCAAACCAAAAATCCAATCAAAACAAAAACTTTTTATATCCAATCATGGTTTTGACTGAATAATTAGCCATGCTTGTTTATCAAATAATATATTCAAAATGAGTTATTTTATATAAAATTGTGGTACGAAGAGCCATCTATTACTTGGAGGAGAGTTGGAGTCTAGGCCCTAGGTGATTACTTTAATTTATTATTATTTTATTCTCTAGTTACGTGATAAACATAAGTCATTGATGGAGAGAAAAAACAAAAACAAAAGCCGCATAGAAGAAAGCAAGCAGTAGTCGCACCGAGCAAGCAGTAGCCGCGCTGCACAGAAGGGATAAATAATATTTCTATTTTATTTATTATTTATTTTTATTAGTATGTTAGGCCAGTTGTTTTTCATCCAATTTGAGAGGATGTTTAAACCCTAAGTTTGATTTGTCTATGATTTGGATGATCTTTATTTATCGTCGATTAATCTAAACGTCGTATTTATTTAGTTGATGAGTTGATTCAAGTTATTTGTGTATAACGTTTATGAATTATGGTTGTTTGGTTTAGTTTGGCAAGCTACGTTGAATATTCATTGTTTAACAGCTATATTCGAGTCTTTAATCTGTAATTGTTATTGTTCTCAGATCCGTTAGTAATAAGCTAGGGGTCGTGCATCTCTAGGGTAGCATGAACATAAGTTAAATGGACTGAGCTTTTGCGTCTGTTGTTTAGACTAATTTATTTTTCTAGAAAGAGTAGCGTGAATATAAGTTAAATGGACCGAGCTTTTGCGTTTGTTGTTTAGACTAATCTATTTTTCTAGGAATTAATGCTGCTAGTGCACTAAATCTAGAAAGTTTATTCTAGATTGTCTGCTAGTTAGGTTTAGTCGAAGAACTTGTTTAGATTAAATATTCAGTAACAGAAAGTTCGATTAACAGAGCTCACTACAAGAAAATTAGAGATGACAATGTGCCAGGTCGGGCCAGGTAGTGCCATGCCCGGACCTGGCCCGCGACCTTACACGCGTGGCCCGACCTGGCCCGTGCCCCGCTACGGGTCCACCAGGACGACCCCGAGACCTGGCCCGCGTCGGGGCGGGTCGACCCGCCCTGACCCCAGCTACGAATTTCAAATGGATATTACAAAAATTAAGCAAATTAAACCTAAAAAGTTCTAACTAATCATCACAATAGTTGCTTCTATTGGCCAAAGTGACACCACTGGCCATCTCCTAACCGTGTCGTGGCTCGCGGCCTCCGCCTCCCAACCATTTTAGACGGTGCAACCCCCAACCCTAGATCTGTGAGTATGTGAAAAGAGAAGAAAAGGAAAAAATAAAGAAGAAAACCTGATGGAAGGAGAATTAAAAGAGTGTTCTAGATCTGTAAGTGAAAAAGATAAAGAGAGAAGAAAAAGAAAAATCAGAGAAGAAAATATGCAGGAAGTAGAATCTATATATATATAAAGAGGTTGTTGGAAAAATACATTAATAGAAAGTTTGACCTAATAAATAAAACAATTGACTTACTATAAATGGAATTCGAAAAAATACATGTGAATCTTTAGTAACAAAATCTGAATCCTATTTTTTTGGTAACTAATTTGGAGATTCTTATGGCAAAATTTGAATCCCATTTTTTTCGCATCATATTTTATTTTTGTACCAAAATTTAAATCATATATTTTGGTAACAAATTTGGAGATTCTTATGCAAAAAATGTGTCAATTATTTATGAAAACAATTCTAAATACAAATTAACTTAAAGACCGTACAAATTGGATACGAATTTAGGAAACAAATAGTTGTATAATTCTTAACCAATTCTTCCAATTTTATTGAATAATTTTTTCTTTAAAAAAAAGTGTGTAAATTGGATAAAACCACGTGCAATTTTTATTTTAGAATAAAACTGATATTTGGACGGGATGTACATTCAAAATTGTGTCCACATTTTTGGTAACAAAAGCGATTCATCTTTGATATTTAAAGTCACCTTATCCAATTATTTAGGAAAAATTGTGTGCAACTTTTCAAAATTTAAATGCATCAATTTTTTTGGATTCTTATGTTTTTCTTAACCATGTTTTATCGAGATTTTGGTAAGTTCATATCATTTTTTTTTGTTAAGTTCATATCATTTTCTTTAGGAAAGAGACAGTTGCATAAACATTAACAAATTATTTCAATTTTTTATTAAAATTATTTTCAATTCAATTTATTTGGTAAAAAAATCGGTGCAGTGTTAGGAAAATTTGGTTGCATTTTTAGGAAAAATTGATGATTTTTTATTTTGTTTGAAAAAATATTCGGATCAATTTGCTTGATAATAATCAGTTTATTGGTAGAAAAATCGGCTTCATTTTCAGTAGTAAATTATAATCCTTTTTAATATATATAAAAAGGTTGTTGGAAAAATACTTAAATAGAATGTTTGACTTATTAATTAATTTGTTTGACTTACTAATTTAGGAAAATTTGTTAAAAAGCACGTGCAATTTGAGTAAAAAAATGAGATTTTAAAAGCAATATTAGAATCAATTTCTTAACAAAAAAACCGGGAGGATGATGTTGAATTGTGGATGAGGATAATATCAATTAATTCTTTCCGAATTGAAAGGTCACATGTGAAATATATACACCAAGGATATCTAATTTATTAGTTACTTAGGGAGCATGATTGTAGGAGATCAAAATATATCAATGTAAATGTAACATCAAACCATATAAAACAAGTTACGTTATAAGTAATTTAAACATTCTTGGTAAATTTTAAATTATTATATATAATAAATCCTTTGTTTTTTTATATATTAATAGATACTACCTCCTTTTTTTTAAAATGTCATTTTGAATTTATTTCTTTTCGGAGGATAGGCATCAACCAACTCACGGATTGAGCTTGCAATAACATTAAGCACTTTTTTCCCATGAACAATTAACCAAATAAATGACGTTTTAGATCTTTTGTACATATTTTTTCATTATTACCTCAATCTAGCTAATAAATACACTACATCTTTTCATATTCATTCTTCATCTTTTAACAAAACATCCATCTCTATCCTCATTAATGAGGGTTATTATTTACAAAAAAAAAAAATCTTAATTACTGTGCAACTTTTCAAAACGATACTTATTAAAAAAAGGAGGGAGTACTATATATATACTTTTATATATATATATATATTGAAAGAGGTTGATTAAAAAATTATTTATAGAAACTTGATAAAAAATTTGAGTCAAAACCTTTGACTTAGTTCTTTTGGAAATTCAATCTAATATTATAAAATAACAATAGGATTTACTTTAAGTTGAGAAAAAGTTCTCGCCTAAAATTTTAGATTTTACTACAATTGATAACTTTCTTTTAAATTTTGAAAAATTGGGAGTTGATTTGTAATTTGAATTATAGCGCCGACGTTGGATGTGGCCGAGTCTATCAATGAGTACATGACATCATTGAATTTGTTGGATGGTCGTATGTACTTGAGTTCTGACAGTACATGCAAATCGGATTCTAATAATGATTTTTTGTCTGATCTTCATACGCCTGAGTTTTTGAATAGTATCAAGTGTTCCGGAATACCGAACCATGAGTTGTATTTGAAAATTGAAACTCCGGTCATGTTGTTGCGGAACATGGATCATTCTATGGGTTTGTGTAATGAGACACGGTTGGTTGTGACAAAGCTATCCAGTCATGTTCTTGAGTGTAAGATACTCACAGGAGATCATGCTGGTGATAAGGTGTTGATTCCAAGAATGGCCATAACTCCTTCTGATGTTAGAATCCCTTTTAAGTTCCAACAGCGACAGTTTCTCATTATGGTTTCTTGCGCCATTACTATAAACAAGAGCCAGGGACAATCCTTATCTCATGTTTGCTTATTTCTTAAGAAACCAGTATTCAGTCATGGCCAGTTATATATTGTTGTCTCACATGTCACTAAACGAAAATGTTTGAAAATCTTAATTTGTGGTGAAGATGACATGCCAAAGAATCAAACCAACAATGTTGTATATAGGGAAGTGTTCAATAATATATGATCTTTTCAGTTTAATTATATGTTTATATGTCTATTCTTATGATCATGATCATTGCATTATTACATAACTTATATACAAAGGTGCATTCTAAAAAGTGTATAGATAATAATTTCCCCGTGCATCGCACGAGTAATTACTAGTTAAAAGAGTGAGAATGAAAGAAAAAAAAAAGATTAGATGAAGAGGAAGTGACACCCATGGAGTGATGGCAGAGAGTGGGGAGCAAAAAGAAAAGTAGAGAAGGTTGGTAGGAAAATTAATGTGTACATCTTATTTATCCCAATTTTTACTAACAATATTGACGGGGCGGGCCGACATTTATGTCCCAGACCTGGCCCGTTTATGCAACGGGCACCTGCCCTGGCCCGTTTTGATAACGGGGCGGGTCCAACTCGCCCCAAAGACTGCAGGTCGGGCGAGGTCCGGTCGGGTCCGGGCCAAATTGACATCCCTAAAGAAAATGATGAAATTCCAACGGCAATTCCAATAGATATTTCAATGTTATTATTCTTACAAAAATATTCAGTTGGAATGAATTTTCCATTGGAATTTTCGTTGGATTTTGACGATTTCAATGGTGGTGGAAATAAAAATTCCAACGGAAATTCCTACGGTAAAAAACCGTTGGAAATATAGCCGTTGGAATCATCAAATTCCATCTAAAATTCTAATGAAAAATACATTCCAACGGAATATGTTTGTTGGAATTTCCGTTGGAATTATTCCAACGGAAGCTATACCATTGGAATATCCATTGAAATTTCCATTGGAATATATTACCATAGGATTTTCTGTTGAATATAACAATTTTTTTTGTAATGGCTTGTTGTTAGCTAGGGTTGGTAATCCATATTTATTAGCAATTTAAAGAAGGCGTTGAAATTAATTAACGGTAGATTTAGATTGTGTGATAACTGAACCGAAAAGTGAATTTCTTTCATTTTATTTGATTTTTATTAAAATCAATCCCCTTTTTATTGCTTTTCTTAGTTTTAATTTCATTAATACGAGAAGGTCACAATTTAATTCTTACTCCTCGTGGAATCGACCGTTACTCGCTACTACTAATAGTTAGTAGAGGTTAGTCGAGAAAAAATTATATATTCAAATTTGTCGCGTCGCGAAGCACAGTCAAATTTGCTCTTCTATGCG